TTTAATTTAGTTACTGAAAAGCACCTGGGCATTTGTGTTTAAACTGACCACAATTTTTCTCTGTTACACTCACATTATGTATGACAATATTCATAAGTCTAGCTTTTTTTTTCAAGAGTTATCTCCCCTTTACTTTAAAAACTTTGCTTTTGAAAATGTTATATCCTGGTGAGAACCATGGATGTCTAAAGATTTACCATCAGAGTGTCTGACAATCTGTCTGTCTGTACTTTTCTAGACATTTTTTCCTGAGATCACTTTTAAATAATTTGGAACTTTTCCAACAAATTTATTTAAGATAGAGAAAAGTTGAAACATTTGTGAAACATTATTATTCATCCTGAAAAAAATGTTATCTTTTGATTATCTGTTGTATAAACATAATTTCCTTACTGGGCAGCAATAATTTACACATTTCTATGATACAAACTAAGAACTTAAAAAAAAATTGAAAGTAAAATTATTTAATTTTCACTATTTTTTGTTGTAATTGACTTTAACTTGGTTATTGATATATGTGTTATCTTCATACTTGGACAAAACAACAGTGGCTCTTGTTATGATAACAATTGTCAATATAATTACTTACAAGTTTAAAAGTATGTCTGTACAACATAATCCCTGAATCTCAAACCATTGAGAAAAGCAGCATGGTTCCCATTACATGTAAAATCTTGAGGGGAAGTGTCATCATCATTATCATCATTTGTATCATCTTGTAATGGCATCTGGATGTTTAGCTTCTTACAGATATTGTGACACACAGCACATGCAAGGACTACCCTGTATAATAGACATAGGACAAGAGTTAAATTTAAACTTTTTTTCCCAAAAAGTCTGTCTTTGGTTCATCTTTACCTGATTTTTGATTTACTAAATTAACATAACTCATAACAGTTTTAAGTATCTTTTATAGTACTTACATAAATATGTTTTTAATTATTAGGTTTATAATTGGTTGACATGCAATTTTAGTGATAAGGGGTAAATTGCTTACATCTGTTCATATACAGTCATACTTTATGCAAAACATCAAATTCATTATTAAAAAAACATGCCCCTTATTTTGGTGAAAATGTTTTTTGTTTTTTTTTCTTCAAATAATAGTAGTAATGTTAATATAATTACTTTTAAAAAAGAATAAATGTAAGAAACTTGACTTTGATAGGGACATTGTTTACGGCATGTTGTTTATAGTTTTTTGGTAAGCTAAAATGTTATAATTTTATTTATTTTTAAAATTTCCATTTCATGCATGATTGATGAGAAACATTATTAATTATTAATTATTCTAAGATGCTTCATATAATTCCTCTTTCATAGATATTGGGAAGTTGTATGCAATATTATTTGATATATGCTTAACAATAGGAAGGTTTATGCTTAAGTAAAATAGGGTGAGATAAATCAGTCTAAATACATGACACAGATATGAGTGCTGTTCAGTGATCATGTTTCAAGTTTGTATCTTTAATAGTTGCAGAGATATGCAAAACTTGCATGTAAAATTTAACCAAGAAAAGGAGATTTTTTTAGTACAAAAGGGAGCATAATTCAGTCAAAACACATGGCAGAGTAATGGATCTTGAGATGTGACCTTCAATTATGACCCTAAGTACATGTGTAAAGTTTCAAATAAATATCTTTGATAGTTCTCAAGACCTTTTTCCTTTAACCAAAATTTTTAAGTTTAAAATTTATAAAAAGGGCATAATTCTGTAAATATTGTAGGCAAAGTTATCCAACTTGTCAATCTGATTTACATTTTCACCATAAATAAGTATTGTAACTTTCAATTGAATATCTCAAGCAATAATTTAGATATTTGACTTTACAAAAAACTTTAACCAACACAGACACCAAAGCGAATGCAATAGCTCTCCATATTTTTCGAATAGTTGAGCTAGCAGCTGGTATTTCACAAATTATCAATTTGATATTTTTCAATCCTGTTATATTTATTCAGTCAAATACCAGCGTGCACAGTACTCAAAGATGTGACATGGTAAATGACATCTCTTTGTATTATTAATTGTCGTGCTTTTCATTTAGTATTAGGTTTAAATGCCTTTTAAAACATTCCTTTGCATAATTTATAATTAAAAGAAAATTTGTTTAGTTTAGTGCAAGATCGAAATTCATCGTATACTTATAAATGAAATATTGAGAAATAATGATGAAATATATGTGTAATTTTATTTACTGCATTTTCACTGAAAGTAATTTTCACTGCAATGAAACATGTTTTCTGTATTTCAACTGGTGTCTTATCTGGCTAGCTTTCTCTAAATTCAGCCAATACACAACATTTAAGTTGAAGTTTATCAATTTGTCATGTCTAAAATGATTAAAAGTATAAATAAACAGAAAATTCAAGTTTTATCTGTAAATACAGGATTTATTTTCATCTTGTGATATGAAAATTATCATATTTCATTTGTAGCATCAGCCACTTGGGTTCAATATATCCCGATCTTACACTGAACTAAACAAATATCCTCTGTATAATCTGAGACGCTAGGCAAAGTTATAGTTGTAAACAACAATTTATATAGGGTCAAATTATATGTAACTAATAAAGTGTCGACATATAGAGAAGAATTATCTGATGACTAGACAATACCAGTTGGCAGGGAAGTTTTGTCACCTTTGTATACATTACTGTGGTCTAAGCCAGTAAAGACTTTGAAGCAAGGTCTTGTTTCATAATAATAATGCCAGCATTTAAGTAACTGGTGAATAATTTATATGGGTGCAACAACAAAGCGCATTACTATGCAATTTTTTATTTATTAATTTATTTACTGATTGTTTCTATTATCTTGTTCTCAGCACATACATGTATACTACACATTTTATATGGAATCATTAACATATTATAAATATAAAAATGTTCAATTTTATAGTTTCATGTGATGCTTTAAATAGTGGATTATTTAATAACAGAAACTCTTTCAACTCGGTTCAAACTCAGATGTATGTCAGGGGCCTTTTTGAACAATACTGAAATGCAATAATGAAATGTTCAGTTCATAAGTACATAGAAATCTTGTATTGATTTTCTTTAAAATTCCTTTTAACTAAACTGGCCATTCATTGAATGTTTCCCTAAACCATGTCTTTTGTGCACAGCAAGCTTTTCACTGTTTGCTTGACGTGAAGAGTGTCCATCCAATAGTGGAACTTTTAGATGCAAGAATTCACAAAAGTACAACATCCAGTGACTGCGAACCTGAAATAACAAAAATACACAATCATCATATACGACTTAAAATGTTGTTTAAATTACTAGTATATATAGTCTGCATGAACTCAATATAATTATTATTTAATGGAAGCAGATAAAGTTATCATAAACAGCAATTTTGTTGAATACATTACATACTATCATAATTCATATGTGAGCCGCGTCACGACAAAACCAACATAATGGGTTGGCGCAGTCTGATCCATCCTGTTCGCTTACAAACATTATTACAAATAGAAAAACAGATAGTACACTTCATGGATCCTGATCAGACTGCTCGGATGCGCAGGCTGGTCTAGATCCATGCTGATCGCAAACCCATATGTTGGTTTTGTCTTGACACAACTCATATTTTTATCAACTGTTTGTATTACATTGATATTTGATATAACTATAAGACTAAGAAATGCACCAATATAATGGAGTATGTACACATGTTTATACACAAATGCACGAAAGAATATCACGTATGGCATTCTCCTGGATAAGACCCTGCTGTTTATTTCAGGGACGAAACTTGTACATGATACTAAACTGATATGTTTACATGATACTGTACATTAACATATTAAAGAAAGCAGATGAAGATTTTATCTGGTTTAGACACTTGGGTCTTTCCCATGATATAGTGATATTTTAGTCATGTAGCATAAAGGTTACAAACCTGTAAATCCTAGAAATATCAGCGGTGTTGTTCATGCTGTATACAATAAAAGTAATCCACAAATTGCCCATTTTTTATATCAGCTTCTATATGAAGAATCCGTTTGAAGATGTCCTTTTATGCAGTCTCATCATCGTTTTTATTTTACAAGTTTAACACTCCGTTATTTATAACTACACACTAATGTTGGTCAGCTTGTGGATGGAGCCATAATACACAGCTTGTTTAGTCTACTTGTAAACTCGCGAATTCCGGTTACAATTATCATACGCAGGCACAACAAAACATATGAGCATTTAGACAATGCTATGGTATATCTTGAGTCTGTAAATTATTTGCCTTCTAAATGTTCGCCTCCAATAGTGTCAATATTTTTGGTAAATTGAGCTTAAATGATGTAAACATTCGACCTGTGACGCACGAATTTTACGGAAACATACATCGATTATCGCCCTTCAAATTAGCAAATAAGCATACAAAATCATTTTTGAACGAAAAATATTGCAATTAACACGCATGTACAGCGTAAAAATATTTACCTGCCCGAAAAAATGGCGTTTTTGATGATGCAAACAAAATTTCTTATTTCTAAGAGCAAAGTTAAGGTTGCTATGTTGCTTCCTTAAAGTTAAGGAAGGAAAATCGTATATTTAAGGAAAAACTTAAGATAAGATGTTTATTAAATATCACTTAAGATTTTTCTTAGAAAAAACGCTGATTTTAAGATTTTCTTATCTTTAAGGTCATATTTAAGGATAAGATTATCTTAAGATGTATATTGAATACGGACCCAGATAATAACCCTTTGTTAAAAACACATGTCGCATAAGAAAGGTTATTCAATTATTGTATAGAAGTTCTTGTTTCAAGAACGTATGATGCAGAAATGAATTGCCACTCAGTTTGTGTTTGTTATATTTTACTAGTTGTTGAGCTAAATAGATGTAAAAGTATATTTCGTGTGATATTAATTATTTTACTTCTTGAAAAGAATGCTTGTTTAATATTGTTTAATATATGAAAACTAACTTAAACATATCATATTTCATCTACATATGTGACGTGTACGAATTTAAGTATGGATTTATTTAGTCGTATTGAGACTTTTTAAGGAGTGGCAAATATTTCTTAAATACAATGGTTTACATTAAACAATCAAGCTGATGAAATAAAGATACTCTTATTTATACTGTCTGAAAAAAGCTTAAAGTTTATGAAAGGTCTTAAAAATGTATCAAACTATCAAGAAGGGGAACATTAATTGCATTGTATTGTATTATCTTCGAATAAGATGTCTACATTTCATCAAACTCGGATCAGAAACGCATACAAGACAAGGCTTATGGAAATGTATATGGATCTTACTTAAAGCTGACTTTTGTTACATGTCGTTATATAAACCGAAACATATTTATCCTTTTAATAATTGTTAAGCTAAATTGTATTGTGATCAATGCATGGAATCTAATTTTTCTGTGAACGAACGATATAACTGATTTCAAAATGAATATAATAGAACCACAATTAGTTAAATGTTCATTTGAAATAAATATACAATTGCTATATCATACTGTAATTCTAATAAAGCTGCCACAAGGTCAATTCATCATTCTTGCAAGAGACGCAAGAGATTATAACTATGGGAAACTGTATTATAATAGTATTGAGCTTGTGTCCGTCGATCGAATAATATTGTTAATGCCCAATTAGTATAGCGTGACCGCACTAAATCTACGAGTAAGCATGCCTTATTGCTTTGATAGATGTCTATTTATTTAATGTAGCAAAACGAAAACCTGACCGTTTTTCTGTAAATATGTATATTAAGCGAAAGTGCAGCAATTATGCAATAAACCTTTACTCAAAAATGGAAGCTCTTCAACACATAAGTGACATTTGTAGCATAGCAATGTAACAAATGTCCATTTTGTCACCCTTTGCTTACGCATTACACTGAAAAGCATGTCACAATATAATGTGTTTAGAAGAATAAAGTTGCATGATAATAGTATCCAATATTTTCCAATGTAACTCTAATATTGAATTACTTCTGAAACATTCGGTGCTTTTATCGCCTAAATTACACACAAGATCAATTTTCGTATATTCCCAATTCAGTAAGATCTAAATAATGGGATTGATGATTATTTGATAGCACCAATGCTTGACTGATAAGGTATTGATTATTCAAATCAAATTATAGCTTGCTTGGTATTTTGTCATTTCTTTATACATGTATATGGACAAAGGAGACTCAGCATTATTTTGTTTATTGCAGGGGCTCCTATCTCTCAGCATCCTTTGATATTAAAATACACACGTTTGTTGTTTTTTCATGAAACACTAAACAAAATATTGTTCTGGCTCAGGCTTCTAAAAATAATAATTGAAAAAAAGACCGAGGTCTTTAAAAAAACAACAACAAAAAACAAACAAAAACTACAAAATAACAACAACAACGGCAACGAAATGTATATGGCATAACTTGCTTACGCCTAAAGTTAAAACATAAACCGGTTAGATATAGAGATATATTCACATAAGTAACTTGTATCACTTGATGACGTTATCGAATTTATCTGATCTAACGGTTGATTTTCTTTAATCCGTTTTAGCACATCTATCAACTTATAACCATATAAATATTGTTTTATTATATTTTAAACTATAGTAGATGAAATCAAGTAAGTTTGACTTTGCTGTAATTTGAGCCAAAATAATATATAGGAGATACTAATGTTTATATTGCAATGTATCCATTGTTATTTTCAGTTCAATAACAATTTTACTCTATATTTTTGCTTTGACTTGTTTTGCCTGTTGAGTTTGAAATTATGTTGATTAATTCTTTTATATTATTAATAGGTATATAGCTTATTGTTGGACATTTTAAGTTTAAACTGTTTGTAAATGGTAATTTGTTATTATTTTAATAATCCTGCATCAAAAACGTAAGCTAATCTCGGAGACACGCGCAATGCATTTTCTGATAATATAAACATGAGCAATATCCTTGTATATGATAGAATCATGGCCACACATTTTCATCCTAAAACAAATCCGTTTACATCGCCGATCTTATTAAGTCTGATTAATTACCGCATGGGTCAGAAATAATACATAGTTGCCTAATGTAAATGTATTTATATGATAAAATATTTCGTAGGTGTATGAGACGGTATGGATAATCATACATTTAATACAAGTAAGTTGATGTACATAATCCAGTGGTCTGTTTCACTTGTGACCACCGATTTATAATGTATCTCGAAATCGCAAGCCCGCCGTTCTATTAGGCTGGTGTTAAATCGCTATTACTTATAGGCAATCGTATTTAAAACTTATATTCTGACGTTGCGTAATATAAAGCGGATGAATCTAAGCATTTTGGCTTTTGTTCAGTGCTCATTTATTTGAAGTTCAATATTTTGTTACAGAATTAATTGGTATACATGCTTCTTACTTGAGTAAGAGCTCTTTCTTCTCTGACATTATTGTTTTTAATTTTATGATCTAAATCATACTGTTTACAATAATATCAAAATATTAGTATGCTTGATTTCAGAACAAAATCTTCAAGAAGGAACGCACAATTAAAGTATATAGCTATTGGGTTTTGAAAAAAGATGAAAAATTCCAACACACAAATATAATAACAAAATACAAACAAACAAAGAAACAACCAAACAGAAACAACAAAAATATTAATTAAAAAGCAAACAAATAAAAAAAAACAATAAAAATAAACATCGTATCAAAGAAAACTACTGCATGACAAAAAAATCAACAAAAATGAATTTTCATTCAGAATTGTTGCATGGTCAAATATCGCAGCATCAGTTCATGCTTACTTTTAATACTAACCGTTCATCTGAATCGTGTGTTACTGTATTTGCACTTTAACCTTGTGCAAATTGATCACGCGGTAGACAGATGTATTGATGTTGAACGTTATGAAATTTTAGATATTTTAATACAAAACCAACACAATATAATCAATAAACATCCGTACCATCCTTCTCATCCATCCCAGTCGGACAGCCGTTATTCTGCTAGTGCGAGATTTCCTCTTCTGTCTCAGAGAAGCAATATATACAGTCATATGTAATACAGTTTGATACAGAAAAAACTAACTTCCTATTGATACACTTAGACATCGAGAGCAACCAGCATTGTAAAATACATAAAACATTCGAGATCAAACTGACTCAATTACCCACACATTTTGGACTAAAGAAATTCCCTGAACATCTAAACTTATCATTATAGTCCACTTCTCTCGCCACACACAGGCATTGACGCACCAAGTATAAGTGACCTTACTTTACCGTAATCTTATCAACTGTAGATAATATTTAGCATCTTTAAAAATATGAGAGGAACAATAAATCACTGTTGAATGGACAGCTGAGATTGACTTCATGATGTATTTAGATTATCTTACAATTTATTGCACACACCAGCTTTCACATTTTCATAGACGTGATAAGCAATGGGATCTGTTTAATGCAAGCAATCTATCCCATAATTGTAAGAGGCAGTGCTATATTGAAAGGCAAGGGCAATGCCCAAACTCTTACTCATTGATTATGTAGCTATTATGGGCCAGAAATCGCAAGACATATCTATACTCCTTAATTGGAATTTTGATAAGGGATTATTACGTTTAGGCTTGGGCAAAGGTTATAAAAGAAAACATTGAGGCATGGAGGCAAAATGACGCCTATATTGGAGAAAATTTGGATTGATCAGATATTTTAGTGTTGACTCTTAAGATCTTTTATGATTATTGCTATTTTTAATACGTCCATCATCATATAATTTACTAATAAAACCTTCACAAATACGCAATTATATTTTTATTTCATGTGAATATATAATTGTTTGAAAGGGGCAGTTTGTTCCAATAGACGCGCAGAAGTCATCTTCTGAGTTCATCATAAAAGTTTGATTGAAATGGTTTTGTTACATATCATCCACGGTGTCCATCGCGAGAGAGTTATAGATAAAAATAAGGTAAAAGTGTATTAAATGCCTTAATTAAAAAATGGAAGCTTTTGCATAGATAAGGGACATTTGTCAGATGATAATGGAAAAAAATATTTTAGAAATAAGTCACAACTTACTAAAAATTTTAACTTTTATCAACTGACTTGCATAATACTTTATAACATTTATCAAAATACTTTGATCATGTTATTACTTATATATACGTGTACATACAGTATATAAAATGACATACTATTATATGAACTTACACTTTTGATTAATGACAATGCACCAAATATAATGCATGCTTATTGTGATTTTTGGTATGCGGAAAATTGTAAATTCTACGAGAAATCAATGTCCTACCGGCATATGGTTAGATGATTTCACACGATTGGCTAAAATCCTTTTAAAGTGTCATTGTAGATGCTTTGTTCATCCGCGTCACGGCAGGCGTGTAAACACACTGTTATCATACCACTTTCTTTTATAATCAGTAATAATCCTGTAGCACGCAAGTAGAACACGACCTAGAGTAGCGGTTATGGGCCCATTGTCTTGCTTCAGTCTCTGTTGTCCGGGTTCTCAACATCGCCAATACCTTTTAGTGTTCAGTTATATATGTCTTCTCATTACCGTTTGTCTTGTAACCAACAATGCATAAATCCGAAGGTCCGACTATAGAAAAGCAATGATCGGTCAAATCTTCTACAATTATTAAGGTAACTCAAAGAGTTCTTTGATTATTTCATACATTGGCATATTCTCATTGCTGAATGTCAATCCAAGGGCACTCA